GGGATATGATTTCTTTGCATATCGATCACAACGGTTATCGCGACCAGTTTAGTTATACATCGTATGCAGCACGGCAACTAAAAGACTAGCCAACTTTCGTTAATTAGAGCATATTGCAGGCATAATTTGTATTTTAGAAGTCGTATCTCTGGTCTTGCCAAATACGGACCTGTACCCGAGGGTTGAATTAACGTTCTAGTGGTGTGCGTCATACAGCTAGAACGACCAGTGACACTTTTTCGCTTATCAAATAGTTTTTTCTCTTCTTCAGGTTTGTTTAATTTTTACTAATTTTAATGTTTTATTACTTCATAACACTCAGTTTTTCTATTATACGCGTAACTTATTTATTCTTACCTATGTATCCTTGTTATCATTATTGCACCATCCGCTTTGTTCGCCATTTTAGTATATTCGAATCATGTTTTTTATATATGTACTAGCTGACCCGACAGACGTTGTCCTGTACACATGTCTATATTAAAAAAGTATTTAACTGTTCAATTCAACTTTTTTTTTATAATTATCAATGAATAAATTTAATTAATACAATAGTTATATTTATTTTCAAATGAACAATTTAACAATATTATATTCAGGAATGCAATTCCAATAATTAATGTTATTATGATTAATATTAATTATATAATTAATCTTAATTAATATAGTATATAATTCTTTTTTTATTTTAAACTTTTAATGCAGTAGAGTTTATTGTAATGCCAAAGGATATACAATATTCTTGGTGAGATTATTGGGTGTATAAATATATAAATTATTTGGGTTTCTGACTCTTGAGCAAGCAACATATAGCTGCCCGTGATTAAAGCACGGATTTTCTAAATTTATACCGCAAAAGTTCATTGTCTGCCCTTGTGACTTGTTTATAGTCATAGCATATGCCAAACGTATAGGAAACTGCAGTCTTTTAAAAGGTATTACTGATTCCGAAGGAATTAGTGGTATTCTAGGCAAAAGAACATCATCTTTGAATTTTCCGCCCAGAATAATTGCCTCTATAATGTTTCCCATAATATTTGTTATTGCTAATCTTGTGCCATTGCATAATTTTGGGGCATTTAAATTTCTTAATAATATAATTGGAGAACCAACTTTCAATAGTAAATTATGCGGCGGCATTCCTGGTAAATCAAGAGAATTTAAAAATTCGACTGGATAATTGACGATTTCATCAGGATCAATAACAGTATCAACTGATTTAAATGTGAATTCATATCCTGGCAGTATCTGTTGTATTTTTAAATTCATTTCGTCAACATCCAAATTCGTTGCTGCTAAAATTGCTCGTTCTTGTAGCCACTCATGATCTTTATGATTATGCTTTAAATTTGGAAAAATATTTTCTATTAGCTTGGCTTTGCTATCAACCATATTTCAAAAATTATCAGGGAATCGAATGTACTCTGTATTTTCATAAAAATTAATTCTGCCATTACCAATATCCAATAATTGTTGTGAAAATTTCGACCCCAGTGCATCATTTAGACCAAGGGCGAGCAACCTTTTTAACCCGCGGGCCAATTTAAATTTTCAAATTTTTTGGCGGGCCGCACGTAATTTATATATACATATACTAGCTGACCCGGCAAATGTTTAGCTATGGAAAATATTTTTAGAAAATCATTATTATAAGAAATGACTAATTAATCCTGAATGTATGAATATTATTACATTTAATTAATATAATTTTACCCACTGCAAACGCCAAAATATTAATAAATATTGGATAATTTACCGACTGCAACGCTAAAATACTAACATCCATATTGTAATTATGTTATACTCTGAAAACAATTTCAGTTTTCTCTCAAAAACAATTTTATCTCCTGATTTTAAAACTAAATTTCAATTTTTTTTGCTGAAATAGCTCCTTTTGTGAGACATTAAAAAACTATGTACTTCTTATGCACATCGTGAAATATTTGTGCAATAGGATAAGCCTGCAAATCAGTAAGTTTTATCGGAGGTTAACCATTTCGTTGCTATTTTTATAATGTTGCAGCGCATAGAGCGCATAAATTTAAGCTTTTTTATAAGCTCAAAATTAAAAAAAAAGGTTACGGCCGTATAAGCCATGATGAAAATAAATTGTTTCTTTTAATAAAATCTTAAACTCTGATAAAAGTCTGATCTAAAACTAAGTCAAAAGATTTATTAACTGAGCGCGGGAATAATGTAATTGCAACAAAATTACAAAATTGGCACAAGAAAAGAACAAAAATATAAAATTAAACAAAGTCTATATTTTATATAACTGCTGGTGTATATTATAAGTGTTTCCACTCGCGAAATTCCAAGATTTATATGAATTTTGCGGCATCCGAGTCGAAAAGGTTAATACAAAATGAAAACTAATAATATTTAAAAGAAAAACAATTTTACTTGAAAACTTTAATAAAAAAATTGGCACTCCTTTTTTATATAAGCTGATCAATATCAGACGTTTTTTTTAGATTTTGTTCTTTATTAACTTCCCGAAGGAGAAGTTTATGTTTTCATCAAAAAATCCGATTCGCTAATTTTATGTTTTCTCGACGTTTCAAGCCATTCTGAATCGAATGAGACCAAATTTGGAAAAAGTATGTGTGTGTGTGTGTATGTGTGTGTGTGCGTGTGCACCAACAGATTTTTTGCGGTAAATCGCCGTTTTCTCAAAAACGGCTGGACCGATTTCAAAAATTTAAAAGCCATTCGATGTATCTCGATGAGGACTATTGTTTGTCAGTTTTGTACGACGATCGGCCAAACCGTTTCTTCGTAAATAGCAGAGAAGTGAAAACTCTTTCGTCCACGTTTTAGCCCGCAGTTATGAATCGATTTTGAAAATTCAAAAATCGTTCGAAAGATATTGGTTGGGAATCGTGCTGATTAGTTTTTGGTAGAGATTGGCCATGCCGTTTTCTTGTAATAAAGTTTAAAAAAAAAAAAATTCGACGATTTTTATGATTATTTTTTTGACGGTAGATACCATAGTCTTCTAGATCATACTAGAATATTACGGCCCTACGACAACTGGTTCAGCTTTAAAAATTCGTCAAAGTTTGCAAAAATTGGTATTGTTTTTTTGGCATTTGTCAAAGTTAGACCTATGATCGACGTTTTCTCAAAAACGCCTGAGCCGATTTTAGAAATTTAAAAGCTATTTAATGTATTTTGGTGAGGACTATCGTTTGTCAGTTTTGTGTGACAATCTGCCGAGCCGTTTCTTTGCAATTTGAAAAAAAATGTTAAACTTTTCGTCCACATTTAAGCTCATCCTACCGAACCGATTTTAAAAAATCAAAAACTGTTCGAAAGATATTAGTGGGGACTGGTACTGATTAGTTTTAGGTGAAAATCTACCGAGCCGTTTTCTTGTAATTAAATGTTGAAAAAAAGTGTTAAATTTTCGTCCACATTTGAGCTCATCCTACCGAACCGATTTTAAAAAATAAAAAACCGTTCGAAAGATATTATTTGGGAATGATGCTGATTAATTTTAGGTGAAAATCTACCGAGCCGTTTTCTTGTAATTAAATGTTGAAAAAAAGTGTTAAATTTTCGTCCACATTTAAGCTCATCCTACCGAACCGATTTTGAAAAATCAAAAACTGTTCGAAAGATATTAGATGGGAATGATGCTGATTAATTTTAGGTGAAAATCTACCGAGCCGTTTTCTTGTAATTAACTGTTGAAAAAAAAATTTAAGCCGATTTTCATGGAACTTTTTTGGCGATATACATCATGGTCTTATAGAACTTACTGTAATATTACGGCCTTACGACAAATAGTTTAATTTTAAAAATTCGTCAAACTTTGCTAAAATTATTATCGTTTTTTTAAGTAGGATTGATGAAGTATATTATTTACACATTTTTTTTTGATTAAGTCGATTATTTACACATATCGGGAAGTTCATGTAACTTGCCTCAAGGCTAAATACCAAACCAACAAGTTTAAATTTTTTTAATGCAAAATGCAACGCGTATGCAGCTTTGATATGTTTTACTCAGCTTTGATAGGTGGTGATTTTTTATGAATTTTCCACAAAAGATAAAATTGTCTAGATTGGGTGTGTGACATATGATTTTCAATGTACCTTTTACCGCTGAAGATAAATCTATAGTCAAAATTGGGGCACAAAATATTGAAAAACATTTAAAAACTGGCACAATCTTCAATCTAGATTTTTTTCTGAATGAATTAATAATTTTCCAGCGACTTTTCTTTTGTGGACCTGTAATTGTTCGCGCACATATCTACTTCAAAAAAAAATTATCATAATTTGATTTGCGTTTTTTTTCAATAGCTAAAATTTTTTAGGACTGACATTAGATTGATAAAAAAATTCGATGTTAACTGAAAAAATGCATTTCTTAAATCTATTTTATTTTGCATGTTAAATGACGAAGAAAACATTTACATGAAAACAGCTGCCTTGTTAGCTTTGAACATTTGTAATCACAATTAAAATTTGTTCAACACAAGTGAAACACAAGATTCTGCAAAAGATATTATTATTGATTACCAAAATACCGAAAGGACTATAATTATTATTTCATATCTAAAAACAATTGCAATTTGCCGTTTGAGTCGTATACTCCTTTAAGCATTGCATCACTATTGAACTAAGGTACTTTAGTATTGAAAATCGACATATTCACGATCTAAATTGCCAGGAAGTCTTTAAATTTACGATGATTTAACCCTCGCGACTTTATAAGATTTATATATTTAATTAATTTAAAATGTATAAATGCGTTGTTGCTGTGTTCCCGGACAAGTTCTCATTTTTTTTGCAATATTGAAGCTTGCACTAATATATAAATTAATATTTGTTTTATCAGACAATGCTATTTCTGCAAACAGTTTTTACCAGTGTTTGCCTGACAAAAAATTAGCCTTTACAGCCGTATTTGATAAAATATCTAAATAATTATTCTATAGTTGAGAAATGCTTGGCGGGCCGCAGAAAAACATCCGGCGGGCCGCGGGTTGCTCATCCTTGATTTAGACATTGAACACGAATGTTAACACTAAGATATAATTTCTTTACGTGGCGCCACAGATAAGACTTTTTTAAGCAGGCATTTATTTCATCAGCACGCGTCGCTCGTGGAATAATGGGCAATGTCTGTCTGAAATCGCCAGACAGTAGCAATAAGCAGCCACCAAAAAGACAATTATTTTTGATATCTTTCAGCGACCTATCAAGAGCTTCAAGCGAATGCTTATGCGCCATAGTACATTCATCCCAGATGATTATTTTACATTTTCGCAAAACTTTTGCCATTCCTGATTTCTTCTTTATGTTGCACATTGCTTCTGGGTTTGCATGAACATTTAAAGGTAACTTAAATGCCGAATGCGCAGTTCGTCCTCCTTCAAGTAATGTCGCTGCGATTCCTGATGAAGCTATTGCCAACGCAATATTATTTTGCGACCGCACACGCGCAAGAATCAGTGAAATAATAAATGTTTTGCCAGTGCCTCCGGGTGCGTCCAAAAAAAAAGAATCCGCCCTGTTGTGCCTCAATTGACGTATTGATTTGATCATATTCACTTTGTTGCTCGGCAGTAAGCAATATTTCATTATTGGCAACAAAAGTAGCTAGAGCAGTTTTATCAAACTGGTGTTCACGTTGAACATCGCTGTTTATGATATCTACTGCTGCTCGGCTCGGTGCTGACATGCCAAATTAAATTAACGACATGTTCGAAATTTGGATACAAATATCTTCAATCATTATTAAGGCTTCGTTATATATTTGTTCTAAAAATTCATGATTATTATCTTGATTATTAATTTTATACCGATGCAAAATATCCTCACTCATTGGGTCTTTATGTGTATTCCACAGTGCAGATGCATCTGATGGAAAACATGTTGTTAATATTATTGCAAATAATTGTCGAATTTGATGTGCAGATGAAATCAGTGCTGCATCTGCAAGAGTCATGTCCCATTGATTATCATTCTCCAATAAGTGCAACTCACGGCACGCATCATAAAAAGTTTCATATAAAATTCCATTGACTGTCCTCAAATTTTGGAATGATCTTGGTCCTACAACATTAATCAACAACAAACGTAAATAAAAGCATTCTCGTTGCTTAGGATGAACAGTATACAATCTACCCAAATTGTTTGTCATATATATGCCTTCGAATCCTGAAACAGGAATACCCCGTTTTCTAAGTACCCAATCTTTTAATTTTTTATCCCATGTAAAATATTTAGGTGTATCTGTATATAATAATGTTCTAGCAAATCTTCCAGCAATATCTGATCTATTACAAAGTTTAAAAAATGCAGTTAGAGTAGTCTTCGGAGCAGTCAAAGCTTGTTGTTAATATATTGTTTTCTGTAAAGTATACCCGCTGACCGTTCTCCAAATGCACAGCCAAATGTACCACAGATGGATTCCTTTCATGTATGGGAAAACCAAAAATACGCCAGATAGCTTCATTGCTACTGACGTATCTACCCATTTGATATCGAGTTATTTCATCATTCTCATTAATACTTTTAATTGCAAATATCGCTTTGTCGCTCCCTTTATGAACATATTTGCATATGTATTTTATCGACTTCACCGAGCTGCACAGTTCGACATTTATATGTGCTTTATAGGTTTTGCATAGCAAAGGCGAATAAGGAACTACCCATCGATTATCAACATCTATTACCCCGCCATTCGACAGTCGCAATTCAAAACATTGTCCACCATTGTCAACGTCACGTCGCCGATAAGCGGGGTAACCATCAATGTCGGTGATAGTATCGTTTTGAAATGATTTTGGAAAATGTTTTGTACATTTTCCATTCACCATGCATGGGTGACATAATGGTGAGAGTACCGCATGGACCATGTATCATGTTAGTAGTTATAATATCGAACAATTCCTCATCAACATTTTTATCAGGAATTTCTGCTGAGATAATATTGTCAATCTCTACAGAACGTACCTTATTGATTAACCACAACAAAATATGTGCATGGGGTAAACCTCTTTTCTGCCATTCTACTGAGTATAACCAGCAGCGTGTTTCACCAAAAACAGAATGATGCGTTATCAAATTAATCAATGATTTCAACTTCTGTTTAAAAACTCGTGCAGTTATATCATGCCTATCCATCGTTGTTTGTCCCGGCATCAGCAATTTTTTTATTTCATCCCATTTGGGATTATACGTAAAGGTAATGAACAGATCTGGTCTGCCATATGCACGAACATAAGCCATAGCATCTTGAATGTACTCCTGCATATGTCGCGGACTTCCAATATAAGAAGATGGAAGAATATATGCAGTACCAATCTGACTAATATCATTCATTGCATCTACATTACCAAGTACTGCATCACGTAAATGTATATATTCCTCAGCGCGGAGTTTGGCTTGATTAAACTTTATGAATCTCAATCTCTCACTCTCAATTTTCACATACATGTCGACCACGAACTGATGGAATAGCTGCCTGCATTTAAGAATGTTATTTTCTCTATTAGCTCGAATCATTAATCGGTAGCAGTAAAAATCCATGGCACTTACTTTTTTGGCAAGTTCTGCACCTGGAATAAAATATTTTAAAATTATTTTAATTATTATTATTTGATTTTTTTTCTAAAAATAAGATTTTTACCTGTATTTGGATCCCTTTGTTTAATATTTGAAAGGTACCCATCTTCACTTTTCCAAAATATCAATGGATACTGCAAAGCATCATAAGAACGATGACTGTCCTGTATAATCTGTATGGTATTATCTCTCCGTTGTATACGTATATCACGCCCCTCACATAGATCACCAGCTATTACGACCGCGACTTCATTGACTGTTGGAACATTATATGCGCCAGCATGTTCTCCAACCGGCACTTTGTCTGCTCTAATAATAATAGCGTAATCATCGTTTTCTAGTCTACTTGAAAGAGTCTTAAACAAATGCAATAACTGGTTATGGTTTTTAGAAAATATTTTCAAAGAGTTCACAATATCTCTTTCCTCCATAAGCTGTATGTGATTAAATTCGCAACGCATGTTTGTTTGTCGTTCATCATCTCCCATAAAATAAATATGTAAGAATTTCGGATTCACATCAGGCATGGGAAACAATGAACCGATTTGGTGGTAAACTTGACCTTGTATCCTAAATGTTGATTCAAAATTTCGACCATCTTCATTTTCAAATACTTTCGTAGCACCAAATGACGTCATCTGAAAACATGAATTAAATTTGCGATTTTTTTTTAGTAATATTTTTGATTGAGACGTTGTTCCATCTAGTAGAGTTTTTAAAGGTTCCGGCGGTGTTGTTAATTTTGTCAATATAATTTTCCCTGATGCGCAACATAAACCTGCTGATTCTCCTCTGAATTTTAGAGCAAGGCAATGTTTACATACTTTGTCCATATTACCAATGGTAATTAAAGAGTGTGATGAATAATCAATTTCAGGATCATAATTAAACGCCAGGCGCAAAAGTGATGCACGTACCAATGCTCTGTGATTATTAACTCGTCGTTGATTATTTTCTCTAATGGCGGCGGTCGCACTTTGTTGCACCTCTCGATTTCTTAATGCCATATTTGTCAGTCGTTGAGTACGTCTCTATAAACTTTCATTGGCACGTGTATTTGCTACTTGCTCTCTCAAATTTATATTGTCCATCATATGTTGTTCATGGGTCCTATTCAATCTTCGTTCATAGATTGCTCGAGCTTGCCGTGTACGTCTTCCAAAATTACTTGCCTCTCTGCGAATTCGTGGCATCGTGGCACGATAAAAGAAAATCCTAAATATTATAACCCGCTGGATAATGTGAATCACTCAATCTCACTCTCAAATTATACTAAAACTATAACTGAAGAATACCAATATCTTCCACTAATACTGTATTATAACTGATTCTTATTAAGCCGCTTCTTTAAACTATTATTCTCACATTACACATCAAAAACAAATTATATTTATCGCCAATTAATCAAGATAACATAGACTCTCCTGGACTCTACTTTCCCGTACATAGCCACATCCTATCAAGTTAACAGGGATAAGACACTTTCAGCGGGCGCAGAGACATCTATCGAACTAACTCGCTTTGATAATTTTATAATATTTAGTTTTAAAAAAAATCTAGTTGTACATGGCTATATATTTTTTTCTTAGAAATATTAACACAAAATTGAGCACAATATGGACATGATTTTTAACAAATAACGCTTAAGAGCGTTGACATCAACATTCATTATAATACATTTAATTCATTATATTTCATATTCATTATATTTATCTCATTCTTTTCTTTCAGATTTATAGGTTAATGTTTGTATAAATATCGTGATATGTAAGTGTTATCAACATTTAAATTCGAATTATAAGTAAATTGATATTTCTTCAACTGTCATTTCTCTAATTTAATATATCCATAGATAAAAGAGTATATGAATATATCATAGGCTTCCTCTCAATTCTCAAACTGATTGTGATTTTCTTTACCTATGCTGCGACTGCATAGTGCAGGGTTTAACTGCATAGTACAGATTCGTATGGTTAGTTTAAGTTGTTGATCTTGAGTCAACGCAGTCAATATTTAATGACTAACTTTCTATAATATTCAATTAAACATTGAGTATAATAAATAAAACATAATGAATGACAAAGAATTGTTTCATGATTTTTTTTAAGAACGATTACCATCAGTTACGTTTGTTACAGTTTGTTAAAGTTGAAAAAAAAGAATGTCTTGGTATGTAAAATACCATCATATATTAATAATAAAGTTTTAATAATAAGTACTTAATTCGTCATTCACAATTTTATTTATAATCAATTTATGTAAAACTATAATGTGATTTTGACAGCAAAAATGGTGCCATTGTATAAATAGATACAATTTCTGGAAGACTTTAGAATTTGCAGAACATCTCTAGCTAAGTGCAATATATCACAAACATACGAAGATGGTGAATATTAAAATAGAAATAAATATGACGCAACAGTTTAGTAAAATATGAGCATATCTGCATCAGAAAAATAAATGAATTTTATTGCTTAACCAAAACAAATCACCATTAATTATCAAAACAAATCACCATTAATTATAATTTTAGGTACTAATATTTTCATAGGTTTGTGAGACATCAAACTGCCAGCTATAGAGATTTTAGTGATCGCTTTGATATAAGTTATAGTACTCTGCATGTAATAGTGCCAAGAATTTTTTCTGTGAAATATGTCTCTAAAATTCATAAAATGGCCAGACAATAATGAGAAATTAGGCATTGCCAAAATGACTTTACAAATATGATTGGTTTACCCGATGGCTGCTACATTCGAATATTATAGTTAAATCAGCAAGATATTAAAAATCATATATGAATCAAAGAGGATATTATTCTATTAAAATGCAGTAATGTTCTATATCTAGTTCTTTATGTGTTTTTATGTTTTCATGTATTTTATAAATCTTGTTTATTATCAGATTCAAGCAGTTCGTCATGATAAAAAAATCATCAATGTATGTATTGGATTTCCTGCTTCTGTACACGTTGCTAGATGTGGCATTTTACCCAACTATGGGATACTGTCTACTCGCTAAGAACAACTTAATGATATCATAAAAAATATTCAATTTGGGTATATTTACACAAATCCATAAAAATTGTAATGGAAAACATTAAAATTGAGCATATATTTGATATACCATAACAAAACATTCAGGCAGCTGCATTATCTAGAATAAAGAGGTGATAATCTGATTTGTCACTTTATAATAACATGCTGCATAATTGTATAATTTGAGACTCGATGATACATTTGAGCATGTCTCGACAGAAAAAAATATTATTGAGACTTCGAATAAGGTTGATTTTATTCCTTACTAGCCGGCCCGACAGACTTCGTCCTGTCAAAAAAAATTGTAATGTGGCAGTGTTTTGTGCCTACCTTTTCTCTATTCTTTGCAAAAAATTATCCTGAACAGAACCGTCACCCTGGTAATAATTCGGTGTGAATTAAAAATAATTAAATAAAACACTATAAGCATTTAAAAGTAAGTAATTTTAATAATGTAAATCATAATTCAAAAATCAGTTCAATTTTCATTGTAGTGCTATGTGATAAACGATGTTTTTTGTTTGATTACCTGGCGCATAGACAAATAAATCTGATGGTTTTCCAATACGGGAACAAACAACATACAATTTTCCATGTGAGAAGCATGGGTTTTCTAAATTAATACCACAAACACTTAATGATACCATAAAAGCACTGGAAACGCATTGGGATGCATGGTGCGAGAACATCTTCTGCTTTATACTATCCTTTGAATATAGTTGGTCGATATTTCGCAACATTATAATTGCCGATCCAACCTTTATTTGAAGATTGTGAGGTGACAATCCTAGCAAATCCAGCGAGTTTAAAAACTCCGGTGGATCGTTTTGGTTAGTTGCCGAATCAACTGATTCGCCTGTAATTTGTTCTTGAATTTTGAAATTTAATTAATTTACATCATTGTTTTTGGCTGCCAAGATAGCTTGATTAATAGAAAGATATTTCTATGTTTATATAAATATATTCAAATTAGATTATCAAAAACTACACAAAATGTCATGTCATAGATCATTGTTTTTTTTTACAAATTGCGTTGCCTACTCGATTAAAGAAGAAAAAGGCTGTTTTTAGGGTTTTCCCGCCAATTATTCGTTTTTTTTCTCGCCGTAACAACCATCCTTGGACTTCAACGAACATTTTAAAAAAAGAATTGGCCAAATTGGTCCAGGCGTTGTTGAGTTATGCGCTTACCAACACATTTTGCGATCGATTTTTATATATAAGATTTAATAAATGTTTGAGTGTAATGGGCTGAGATTGCTTATATACATTCATTGTGTGAAAGGATAAAAAGCGAGTGAATTGTTAAGCATACAGTAATTGAATAGCAGTGTCATACCAATCATTTTAAATAATGCTTCGAGAAATTTGAGACTCGATGATACATTTGAGTATGTCTCGACAGAAAAAGATATTATTGAGACTTCGAATATGGTTGATTTTATTCCTTATTTAATAAATGTTTGAGTGTAATGGGCTGAGATTGCTTATAAACATTCATTGTGTGAGAGGATAAAAAGTGAGTGAATTGTTAAGCATACAGTAATTGAATAGCATTGTCATACCAATCATTTGAAATAGTGCTTCGAGACATTAAATAGGAGTCTATGCAGAAAAGACATGGTTTGTAGGAGGTATTATCAGATTGAGTTCTACACATTGGAAAGAAAGACACCAGGTTTGAAGCAAAATGATGCTTTTGTATCAAGACCTTTTGATTATGTTTAAATTGATTATTGTTGACATGTATGCTTGTGCGATTGTACTAAATTTAATTAAATAGTAAAATATGTTTTGACTAAATTTAATTAAATAGTAAAATATGTTTTGTCATAATAATATTATGTATTGAAAAGAATACAATATTACTGTATTAAAGAATAAAATATGTATGTATGTTCTACAATATTGTATTTTTTACTATATTAGATACTATACAGTTTATTATGCAAGTTTTTGGGTACTAATTAATTGCTTCCAATATGTTAAATGATTGATATTATGTTTGTTGTCACATATATAGTCAAATTTAGCTGCATATTAGAAACATTAATGTAATTCTGTTGCAAAACTTGCTATCTGTTTTTGATATATCTCTGCATTTGGTTAACATGTAATTTTTTTTACGTATAGACATACTTTAGTTGAATTTCCGTAATAATATCTTTTGCAATTTTTGATCTGCTTTAAATTACGGGGAGGAAGGGGAGCATTGGGCACTTTTTTACATAAATGTTAATAAAACTGTTATTTTTTATCATAATCAAAATTTTATTCCTAATATAGGGAGCACACATATTTGGTAGTAATTATTATTAAGAAAAGTTTCAATATTGTAATTAGTTTCAAAGTTACAAGAGATCTTCGAACACATGTCCAAAGTAGGGAGGTTTGGGCACTGTATTTAATATGCACGAAATTGCTTTACTATACTACTAGGCTTGAGTATTATATAACATTACTATAAAAAATTGTAATACAAACATTTTTTCTTATCATAGATTTTAGAAAAATTTAACAATGTGACTTAGAATCAGTACTGCACGATGTTAGACTTAATTAAACTTATCTTATATTTCGTATGATCCATAGAGGCTTGTCAAATTTATATTTTAAGCTGCCACGTTTCATCCATGTCGTTGGTGTAGGCAATTTTGTCTTTATATCCTCCAGGAGGACACTGGCTACGTCCTCGATGTCAGGAAATATAAAAGTATTTCTTAACTTACTCACTCTCATAAATTTTACAGTTGCCATCGTCTGATTAACATTTTCGATTATTCCAACATAATGGTAGACAGTTTTTTTGGTGTCAAATTTCACTAATACAAAGTTATTGATCTGGAAATTTCTATCCAGAACGATCACATCGTCTTCATCAAAATCTTCCGATTCAACAACGGTTTCGTCAGAAACTGAAACATCTTCTATTTCATCATCGCTGCTAATTTTCCTGTTTTTCTCTAGTT